AATACAAAACTTTTTATGTTGATTACACAGTAAAACTATATTTCAACCACACCAAATACAATAAAATATATCATGAAATTGTTTTCTTTCATCTATTTAATGTAAACAGTCTATTGGCTAGCACTGCATTGAGAAATTGAAAAAAAAAACTATCAACCCTCATAGAAGATAGTGTAAGAATTGCCTCCTAAGAGATGAAACAAATTGTTGTCAAAACCAAAATTGTCTCCAAAGCTATGCCCATCTCATCCCATATGCTCTCTCTCCATCCTATTTCACATGCTATTTGTTATGTAGAATTTTGCACCACATAAATTATCAGATGAAAAAGGATGACTGGGTCTATATCCAAGTGTCCAAGTTCTGTGAATGTCCATATATTGGGGAGCTTGTAGTCCTACAAGAACTCAAATTTATAACCATTAGCATCTCCTCTAGTTCCCATTACAGCCTATAGTTAATCTCTTACTAGTAACACTAACCACCTGTAATTATCTGTAAAATAAAGTCATAATATCATAAGCTTGGTGTGGGCAAAGATCCGAGTCTAACATGGACAAGTCAGCAAGATAATGAGACAGGGGAGAATAAAAGACAACTTAAAGCAAGGTGCTTATGGCTCATGCCTGTAATCCTAGTTACTCATGAAGCTGAGACCCAATGATCATGACTCAAAGCTAGCCCAGACAGGAAAGTCTTTGAGACTTTTATCTCTAATTAAAAGCCAGAAGTGGAGCTGTGGGTCAAGTGGTAGAGCACTAGTCTCGACCAAGCTCAGGGACGGTGCCAAGGTCCTGAGTTCAAGCCCCAGGACACCAAAAAGGAAAAAAAAAAGGACATTAAGTGCTGAATCACAACACTTAATTCCCTGAGACATCCTGAGATGCATGAAGAATATTTCTTAAATGTGTCCCCTTGGAGAACAAAAAATACTTAGCAATAGGCAGGAATACATCCCTATTAATTGATCATTGCTTGGGGGTATTAAACGTCTAAACTTCCTATTGTGTAGAGGTGTTTGGTGGTGGCAGTGGTGGTGGTGGTGGTGGTGGTGGTGTGTGTGTGAAGGGAATGGCAATGAATTTCTTGAGACTTTGTATTATCAGAAAATAAAAGCAACAAGTTGATGGAAACACTTTATAAACAATCATGGTTCCTACAGGACTAAATCATAATAGAAAGCAGAAAAGTAATCCTAACCCTAGAGAAAGCCAGTGAGTGACAACGCAATCATTTTCATAAAGGAGCTAAGTGCTCTTGTTCTGTTTTGCTGATAGAGCATTTGCCAACTTAATAATCATCAACAATTAAGAGTGCCTGTTTTTATTCTAGTGAGAATCCCACATCTTGCACAGCAACTGCAACTTCAGCTGCCAATTGACTAATTTTGTAGCAGTCCACTAACATATATTACAACCACTCTACCTCATGAATGATAATGTGACAGAGATCCACATCACTACATTGGCAGAAATCTTTGCTGGCAACACAACCTCTGAAATTCCTCCCAGGTATAACTAGCATTTGATTACCTGGTTTAGACCCTGGAAGGGAAGATGCTTTCAGCAGCTTCCATTTGCCCCTTCCTACCAGGATAACTCACGCCATAGGCCAGAGAGAACCCTAGCAGCTGTTAAGCAGATCATGCCCAGTGGGATTCCAGACACCCAATGGATGTATTGTGAGACAGACTATAGCCAGAACTTTATCGCTTGGCTTCCATTTTGAGCCCTCTGTATCAGGGTCAATTAAGCTCACATGACAAACAACTCAGAACAATCTGGTAATTCATTGTTCACAGTTGTGCACGTCCTTGAGCAAGTTGGCTTCAGTCCCATGGGAGATGTATTAAGGACACACCTAACAAAAATCCCTGCAGTATCACTTCAGGATTCTTACTCAAGAATTCTACAATTGCTGGGCCTGGCAATAAGGTAAATTTTTATTGATGTCTGACTTTCACTCACTATTTCTTTTTGTTTTCCTGGCTGAGGCAGAAAATATGCTTAGGCTGTACATTTGCTTCATGCTCAGAACACTCTGAATATTAGTACACAGGCCAAAGCAACCTGGTAGCCACTCTACTTTTGCTGGTAGCCATGGCAATTTCATCCACCTTGCTCCTGCCAGTTCAAAGTTCCCTAGTTCCAGGGAAACATTGCCTACGTTTTTATTTCATCTTCAATCCATCACAACTAAAAACCTTAGTCTTTGTAGTGCACTTTAGGGAGGTATCACCACCCTATTTACCACCAAAACTGTTCAGACAATCCAGTGCCAGAGTTCTGAACACCACTAGGCTTTCTTGTTACATCATCTTTCTTTAGTTTGGTGTCCCCAGAAAGCATAACCTAAGATAATTCCTTGAATGAAGACAGATTATTAGGAGGTACACATTATATGTGTAGAAATACAGTATGTGCTAATAAAATTGAAAAAAAATAAAAAGAAAGTAACGAGGAACCCGAAAAGATGCTGAAGATGAGAGAAGAGTGTCACTGAAGTTGCTGTTGTGGGTAATCAGAATTAATGCAAACAAAAAGGTAAAAGTATCTTGCTAAAAGGTATAAAACAGGGAGTGTTTATCCAACAACTTACTGGTATTTTGCATTAAATGTCCCAGAATGGTTAACTTGCCCGTGCTTCAAAGCTGTTCAGGGCATGAACTGTATTATCTATTGCTAACATCTACAACACCAGAGGAACCTCAGAACACAAAAAACAAAGGTCTAGTAAACCTGAGGAGCAATGCATGGAAATTTGTATGAAACTGTGAGAAATCAGGTGATGCTCAGGATATGTGACTTGGAACGCCAAAGGCTTCCAACACAATAGGATTATTCATTTCTCAGAAACTGGAAACCGATTAATGGCTACAATCTCTAATTTTGTTTACTATTTGGTCCTCACAGGGGTAAATGGAAAGTAATTCAAAGTAATAAATATTAATTAAACATCTACCCATAAATATTAAACATCTACTGTATAAAACATGTTACTCCAAGTAATGTCTCATATAATTAAATGTTACTTAACTTGTAAAAGTATTTCTCTGATAGAGGAGTCAGGCAACATTTGAGCAGTGGCTGAAAGACAAGGAGGAAGCAAGTTGAGACAGCATTGTATCTTTGAAGACAGTGTTGCATGCAGGAGGAACCATAGTTACAGAGCACCAATGTTTGCTGGGCTAGGAGAGACCTAGGTGGAATCTGAAGAATGGCTTGGATGAGACCAATGAAGAACAACTTCTAAGCCATGGTAAGTTTGAATAAAATGATGAATCCTTAAAAGAATTCTGAGTAGACTAGTAGCATATTCTGTCTCAGACTCTGTTGCAGAAACTACTGTTCCAATAAATAAAAGGAGGCCTAGCACAAAGTGACTCCTATCTATCTGTAATCCTAGCTGATCAAGAGGTTGAGATCTGAAGATTACAATTGGAAGCCAGCTTAGGCTGTTAAGTCTGTGAGATTCATATTTCCTGTTAACATTCAAAAAGCCAGAAGTGGAGCTGTGTGGCTCAAATGGTCGAGTGCCAGCCTTGAGTGAAAAAAAGAGCTGAGGGACAGTACCCAGGCCCTGAGTTTGAGTCTCGGGACCAGCACCTATAAAACAAAGAGGAAGTTGAAACTCTTCTTTGAAGATTACTGCAATAGTTTACACATGGGTGGATGGTATCTTATGACATTAAACAATGCCCTGTAGTTGTTTGATACTATCATTTGCCTTCTCGTGTGTATTTGATAATTTCTTGGGAGCAGAGACTTACATTCATAATTATGTGATCTATACATATTCCTATTCAACAAGTGTTGACAATTATTGTTTCGGTGATTAATAATATGAAATTCACATGTGACAATATGGCATCACTGAAAGGCCTTACCTTTCCCGGGAAATCCTTCCATCTTTTCCTTCCTTCATTTATTTATAAACTAAGGGCCTTGTGTCTTCTAGGCTGGCTACTTGAGTCGTACCTCCAGCCTGACCTTTGCTGGTTATTTTGGAGATAGTCTAGTAATGTTTTCCTGTTAGGATTGGCTTCAGACTATGTGATCCTATAGAATTTGGCTGAGTGGCTAGGATTACAAGCATGAGCCTCCAGAGCCAAGCGATCATTTACTATATCTTTAGAGAGAAAAAAAAAGTTTGCTTGCATATTTGTTTCAACCTTTTTTTTTTTTATCAAAATGCTGACAACATGGGCCTTACAAGAATGTCAAGTCTTAAATGAAAATGTCTAACCATAGGAGCTGCTTTGATTCCATATCAACTCTCATTCCCAACACAAGGCAAAAATGTTTTTTTGTTTTTTTTTTCCTATACGCCTGTGGAATTCTGCAGGCTGTACCTGCCTGGATTCTAAAGATTGGGTTCATCCAGTTTGTCCCTTTGGGATGTGAGGCCCTCAGACGCTGTCCACGTTGGTTATGTCATCTCTTCACGTCGTCGTAACGTCATCAGACGTCATCCCTGATCCCATCTCGGCGTTCACCTCATGGCTCTTCAGTGGGTACAGGCGTAGCTCGGTGCGGGCCCGAGTTTAACAGGAAGTTTTGGGGAGGACGGATCGCCAAGCTCTAGGCCTCAGGTCCCACGCCCGTGTCGGTGTCAGAACACGTGCTGGGGCCATTCGGACCCGTCGGAGGGCCAGGGCCACGGGAGCAACGGGCGGGATCGAGAGAATGACTCCAGTCACCCGCACCCAGGGAAGTAAGCAGCTAAGATCCCGGCCAGGGCGGCCAGCACGGAAGGGTGTCCCACGCCGTGCCATCTCTCTCTGAGCCCCAAGGACTCGTCCGTCACTCATCAGCCAGGGGCGAGTGACCCGGGTCTTCCCAGACCAGGGATGAGAAACAGCCACGGCCCCACCTCCGGAACGCACCGAGCATGCGCGCGCGCGAAGGGTAACGGCACCACGCACGCCCACGTCCATCCCCCGCTGGCCAGGAGGCGGAGCCACGCCTCTGCGCAGGCGCGCAAAGACACATAGGCGGAAGCGGAGGGCGGGCGCGGGGGATGCGAGTACCTTCCCCGGAGGCCCAGGAGGCTGCGGAAAGTGCGGAAGGCGGAGTGGAGACGGAGGAAGCCCAGGTGATGGCGACGGGCGTGGGGAGAGGGGGACACGCCGCCGGGATGAGTGGCGGCGTCCTGGGCTGGGGTCACGCCCTCGGGGGACGGGCACACCTGCTTGTCAGTGGGCGTGTCCGACCCCGGCCTCCGCGGACACCGCTGACCGCCGCCCGCGTCCTCCGGCTGGCCAGAGGGTGGCGGCCGGACGGCAGGTGGAACTTCCTCCGCTAATGAACGGACAGCTGCGGCTTCCCGGAAGGAGCCCCCTGCCCTCCCCCCGGCCCGTGGACGTGGGTTGGGCCGGCCAGGCCTCCGTCGGGCCCGGCCTGGATGGGATCGCCTTTCCTGGGAGTCTGGGGGCCGTTTGCGGGTGGGAAGGGGAGCGCGGTGAGCATCCAGGGCTCGCGCAGTTGAGAACCACTTCCGGGTTCCGGGTTTAAGTGAGGGCATCCCCCGGGTACTCTGGTGTTAAGTGACCCCAGTCCTCAGGGGCCTTGGCTGGGGCCCTGAGAGCTCTGCAGGCTCCGCCCGTCCTCGCCGATGAATTTCTCTCCATGATCCGGTTTTCTCTCCTCTTCCTTTCATGGGAATATTGGAAGTCACAGGTGGCGCGATGTGTTGTGCGAATAGAATTTTGGTGGTCTGGAGGCATGGCTTCGGCGGTAGAGCACCTGCCTAGGAAGGATGATGCCCCTGAGTTCGAACCTCATGCTTCCGAATAATAATAACCACCACCACAACAAGAAGAAATTGGGCATTTCGTTTGCATTTCTTCTACAGAAGGTTCTAGTAGGTCCAGAATGGTAATTAATTTTTCCAAAGTGACATGAGACAGCTTGGAACTTGGAAAACAGCGATGGGCACCATTTTTAACATTATTTTTACTTAACAGCCATAAATCCTAATGTTAACTAAGTAACTTTCATAAATAAGCACAGTTGTTTGAGCGTTTAAATTCCCGTTTACTGATGATTTGTACTTGGAAAGATCTAAAATGAAATGTCTGTTTCAGATCTATGAAGAGGTCCTCAGGCAATGATTCACACCTGTGGAATTTTTTTTCTTCCTCTTTCAAGGGATGGGACCTTGTAAAGCAAAGCAAAATGATGGTCATCTTATAATGAAAATTAGTTTTAATTACATTTGGTTTTTTTCCCCCCTCCTGCCCTACAGGACTTTGTCTCAGTTTTCTGAAGTGATAGGTAATATCTGTCATTAATGTTTGAAATGGAAGGGGAGATGGTTGACATTGGAGATCACAATCTCTGAGTATCAGAGGGCAATGGAAATGAGCTCATTTGCATGTACTTTTCAGATATTGTGTGGGGAATTCAGGAGAGATGTAGGTATTTAGCCGTATGTTTATAAAAGGAAGTATATTTGTGGCCCAAGTCTGCAGCTGAGAAATGTGTTCTGAGATTTATATTAGTGGGTAAAAGCTAATCTTGGTTACATGGACTTAAAACTTCAAGAGTCCTTTGATTTCTGACATTTTGTTATGTGCTAGAACATCATGAGGTGGCATTATCATCTCTTGCCTTAAAAAATTCTTATACAACTGGGCACTGATAACTCACACCTGTAATCCTAGCTACTCAAGAGGCTGAGATCTAAGGAGTCAGTTCAAAGCCAGCCTGGGCAGAAAAGTCTGTGAGATTCATCTCCAGTAAACTACTTAGAAAAAGCCAGAGATGGTACTGTGACCCAAGTGGTCACAGTGGAGCACAGAGGGGCTCAGGGACCGCTCCCAGGCCCTGAATTTGCCCCAGGACCAGCAAAAAATTAAACAACGATACTTGCAAGACACTATGCTGGAGGAATGAACTTTACAACTTGGGAAGAGGGGAGGAGCGAGGGAGGCAAGAGATGGTAGTAGAAAAAGGAGTGGCTAACAGTGTTCAACAGGAAATGTACTCATCACCTTACTCATGCAACTTTAACACCTCTTTACAACCTCTTTACAATAAAATAAAAATTCTTACACTTGTAGAGAAGCAAGCATGAAAACAAAAAGTTATACATTATGACTTCGATATTTGCAAAACTGTACTATGCTAAGGAAGTCCAGGATATCAAATAGTTTTTAACTTACAGTGCCTTGGTTAAGGGTATATCAGGGTCAGCTTTCATGCTGAGCAGTGTTAACAGTAGACAGAAAAAGAGAGAGAGAAAGAGTACAGGATAATCTAGTGATCTGACCAAGAGAAAATGGCTCCTTTTTCCTTAGGTTTACTCTAAAAGAAAAAGTAAATTTTCTTTGAATTGAAAAATCCTTCTAGTGGTAGCAAAACCAGATTTTACATGTACTTATGAATGTAGAGTCAACAGTGGTGTCTGCAAAATATAAATGTGAGGAATAGCAAAGTTCTTGACAGAACTCTGACTTTTAGCTTCTCTATCAATACTAGTGACCATTAAATGACTTGGGGAATGTAGAAAAAGATTTATTTTGGGGTTGGGAGGGGAATAATTAAAGTTTGGCAATTTTAATTTGAAATGCCTATAGAGCTTACAAGTACTAGTATCAAGGAAACTTGGAGTTGGGCATGGTAGTGAGTGCATGCCGATAATCCTAATTATATTGGATGATGGTGGTTTGAAGCCAGTCTGAATAAGAAGTTAGTGAAATTCTCCCAAAATAAGATCGATATGTTATGTGGGCTTTAATCCCATAGAATTAGAGGTCAAAAGATTGCTGTTGGAGGCTACCAGAGAAGAAAAAAAAAAAGCTGCCCAGGACAAAAAGCACTGAGACCTTACCTGAAAAAACAAAGGAAAATGGGTTGAGGCTTGACTGAAGTGTTAGAGCAGAGCACCTGCTTAGAAGTGTAGGGCCCAGAGTTCAAATCCCAGTACTGTGTCACAAATCTCAGTTCTTGTTTCCAACTACTCCCAGGGTATGGATGACTTTCAGCTCACCAGATGACCCCAGCACTATTTCAAAAAAGCTAAATAATGTTAACTAACACATATGTATATATGCCAGGCAGTTCTATATTTGTGTCAAAGAACACTGACAAAACTCCTATAATCAGCATATTTTAATTCCCTCCACCCTCTTAGATATGCAGAACATAACGCTGAAAAAGATTAATTTACCCAAGATTCTTCAGTAAAGCCAGATCTGCCAGAGTTCAAAAGCATAGGGGAAACCCTATGCTAGTACTTCCTTATTGTTTGAGCTGTAATTGAATTGAGCCAGTACAGTAGTGCTTGTCATTTTGTTAAATTCTAAGAATCTCAGAAGAAGGTGACTTTGCAAAAAAGTTACCTTCTGGAGAAATGTTTTAAACAGTAAAAGCAGGGGAAAATGCTCTAAGTTTTAGTTGTTCTGTGTAACTATGAATAAATACCTAATTGTATTTTTCTTCCAATCGGTTGTCTATAAAAGTTTCAGTTAACCCATAAAGTTTTCTAACACCACAGCTTCTTTCGAAAATCCTATCTACATAGAAGATGAGCGATTACAAACTGAAGTTTGCTGAGTACTGGGAGCAAATTACTTGCTAGATAATAGGATGCAGAGCAATAAGACTTGAGTCGTCCTTTTTCTTCTCTTCTGGGAGCATTAGGAACATTAAAGGGACAAAGCAGAGCACATTAAAGCTGAACCGCAATACTTGACCCTGAGCAGAAAAGAGACCATGAGCAAATGCAAGGGTGTTAGAAAGTCCATGGTGCATTTCAAGAACAGAGCATGAATGCTCCAGGCCTTTGTTGACAAAAATTGAAAGGAAGAGAGCTTAGAGATGTCTCTATTGAGGGCTTTAAGAATTATAAATTTGAACATGGTGCTAGTGGCTTACACCTATAATCCTAGCTACCCAGGAGGTTGAGATCTAAGTATCATGGTTCAAAGCCAGTCCAGGCACAAAAGCCTGTGAGACTCTTCAGTGAACCACCAGAAAAACAGAAGTGGGGCTGTGGCTCAAAGTGGTAGAGTATTAGCCGTGAGTGGAAAAAGCTCAGGGACAGTGCCCAGCCCCTGAATTCAAGCCCATGACTGAAAAAGAAAAGGAAAAAAAAAGAATTATAAATTCACTAAATACAAAAATGTATCATGTTTGGTTCTTTGATGAAAAAATAATACTAGGTTTGCTTTGGTCTTTTGATGTGGAAATAACTATGATTTCATGTCCAGTAGAGTGATACAGTGATCTTTGTCAGGGGAGATACAGTCTTTAGAGTAGGTTTCTTGGAAGCTGGGATGTGAGAGTTAATGTATTAATATCCAGAGAAAGTCTACATCTACGTAATTTTAAGTATAATTTGAATTACTATTTGGCATATAACACATTCTGAACTAAACATTTTGCTTTAATTGCTGATTACCTTCTCTAGATCTTGGCACAGCCAACAAAATTTCCAGTGAATGAAAAAGAAGAAAGCAAGAAAGATAACTTTGAACGCACTGAATGTTGCAAGATAAGCACAATGGATCTCAAGTTGAACAGCTCCAGGAAATACATCTCTATCACTGTACCACCCAGGACTCAGACGATGTCACCACACATCAAGTCAGTTGATGATGTTGTAGTGCTCGGCATAAACCTCAGCACATTTAACAAACTTACTCAGCTTTTCATATGTGTTGCTGGAGTTTTTGTATTTTACCTAATCTATGGATACTTACAGGTAAAAATGTAGCTATTTATTCATGATTGATGGCAGGGTCAATCTAGGTATTCACTAATCCAACCTACTTTTACCTACAGGATTACTGGTTGATTCAGTTTTCAGCTTTTTTTTGTAGAGTAATAGAAAATAGCTTCATAAGAAGACTACTAAAGGGGCTGGGAAGGTGGCTCAGTGGTAGAGTGCTTGCCTTGCATACCTGAGGCCCTGGGTTTGATTCCTCAGCACTACATAAGAAAAAAGCCGGAAGTGGTGCTGTGGCTCAAATGGTAGAGCGCTAGCCTTGAGCTGAAGAGCTGAGGGACAGCGCCCAGGCCCAGAGTTCAGGCCCCAAGACCGGACCCCCCCCCCAAAAAAAAGACTACTAAAAAAAAGATCAAAATTTCATATCAAATGTTTCAAGTGGTAAGAAGGGATATGTAGAAATCTTGGGAAAAAATAAAATTGTAAACATTTAACAAAATTTAAGTAATGTTTGCCAGGTGTTAAGTTTTTAAAAGAAACAAATACTGGAATCTAGGAGCTAATCCCAGTAAAAATAAACAATCGCATGGCTTATTCTTGATTCTTAAAGCTCAGTGGTGCAAAAATATCAGTATGTTTTTTGTAAAGCTGGTTCTCTAATCCTCTAACATTGAATCATTTTTTTTATTTACATAAGTATCTGGTTGTGTTCTGATTCTTGTTGGTTTTCTCTGTAAACTTTGCTTATTTTGTATGATTTCTATTTCTGAAAAATGTTTCTGACATTCTAGCAGTGTGTTCATACTTCTGTTGAGGGACACGTGATCAGCAGCAAATTCCTGACCTTCAAAAACATGGATTGGATGAGTGAGGATCTAGATTTGTGTAAACAGAAATACACAGGACTAACAGATCAATGACCGATAACTTAATGAATAATTTTCAGCCCTGCCAATTACCACTTAAGATTTTTCTTCTTTTCTTTTGAGTGCTAGTCCTGAGGCTTGAATTCAGGACATAGGTGCTATCTGAGTTTTTTTTTGCTCAAGGTTAGTTCTCTACTACTTAAACCACAGCTCCATTTTCAATTTAGATTTTCTTATAAAACTATATAATATAAAGGAGCTTTTATAATTCAAGAAAGGGAAAATGATTAAAACTGGTAATATTTCTAGTATTCATTAGGCTAATAAGTTAGCCTAATAACCTGAAAAAAATTTGTTCCTTCTCATTGTCATATAGAGATGAATTATAAGTTATTTGTAAATAAGTTATCTAAATAACTATATTATTTAGCTTACAAGAATGCCATGAAAATATTAATACAAAATAAAAACATGGATTCAACATATTTATAACTGATCTCCCACTAGAAGGTGATCAAAAACTTACATGATAACTGTAATTTAAAATAGTGTTTATTCTCTCTCTTGGGGCACCAAGGTGTTAACTCAATGCCTCACTTTGTTAGGCAGGTACGTTTGAGCAACGCATTTTGTTTGATTTTGTAATTTCTGTTGAGAGACACATTTTTCCTTTGTATTGCACTGTTTCAAATAGATTGAGACAAAAGGCAGTCATTGCAAAGGAAAATGAATTAGAAATATGCCTATAAATTTCATTAGAGTGTTTGATCAATAATCAGGTATGTTAATTTATACTTAATGTGTGCACTTTTATTTTAAGCTGCACAAGCCATGGCTAATTATGTTTGTAGCCCTGCCACTTTCACTTCCTGAAGACTGACATTTTTACCAACTTTTCACATGTCAAAATAGCTCAAGGAAAATGGTTGGGACTTGGTAATGTAAATGTTACATACTTCCCTGCATACCTATACAAAGTTATATTTATCTGACCAAAATATAGCCAGAGAACTTTATAAGACTACCTCTTAATATTAATATTAATAATGGATGTGGCTGGGCACTGGTGGCTCATGCCTGTAATCCTAGCTACTCAGGAGGCTGAGATCTGAGGATCATAGTTCAAAGCCAGCCCAGGCCAGAAAGTCTGTGAGACTCTTATCTCCAATTAACCACTAGAAAACTGGAAGTGGTGCTGTGGCTCAAGTGGTGGATTGCTCACTCAACTAAAGCTGAAGAGCTCAGGGCGAGTGGCCAGGCCTAGAGTTCAAGCCCCACGACCAACAACAACAACAAAAAGTTGATGTAAATCTTATTTGCTAATATTGTATTTAAACATATTAAATATCCACTATAGAGGAGAAATTTTACATAACCTGACCTAAGAACTTCAAAAAACAATAGTGACATGAACTGACGTTCTTAAAAATAGAGCAGATGTCAGATGCCTAGTGAAAGAAAATTTTTATTAGAGCTTTTTAATCAATTACCTTTTTCATTGTTTTGAACAAGTTTTACTTTGGGTCTTTTTTTTTTCTAGTGAAGAAGCATTAACATTTTTTTTTTTAGTTCTTTTTATGTCAGTTTTAATACCTGTAATTTGGTGTCCTTTTTTGGAAAGGATTCTGACCTCTCAAGTTTCCTATGAGGAGCCTTATGATTTGATTTTTTTTAATCCCCCTTTTTTTAGTGTGTTTGTAACTTGGTTTTTTTTAAAAAAAAATATGTGCTTATAATTACTGTGAGAAAGTCTATTCCAATGAAATTAATAGTATTCATGTGTCTTTTAACAGGAATTAATATTTTCAGTGGAGGGTTTTAAGTCCTTTGGCTGGTACCTTACTTTAGTGCAGTTTGCATTTTACTCCATATTTGGCCTAATAGAACTTCAGCTTATTCAGGACAAAAGGAGAAGGTATGTGGTTTGTTTGGTTTTCTTAGTAGTTAAATTCACTAATATTAGTTGAATCTTTAAAAGAAATTTTTAACATGTTGAGTATGCATGAAATTTATACTTCTGATTAACATATGCAATCATGAACTAAATGCACTGATAAAAGTGACATCTCTTTAAGTGTAATGTTATAAAAACAAAACCTATATACATGTATATACATGTATATGCATGTATTATAGGCTTAATTTATAGTAAGTGTAAAACTTAGTGGTGGCACCTATCAGTAGTTCCAACTACTGAGGAGGCAGAAATGCAGAAAAGTTAATGAGAGTCAAATAATAAGCTCGATATGTGGTTGAGCTCTGTCAGTCCATGATCAATAGGGTTGAATTGACTGATCTGGCTAGCTAAGTAGGCGTCCCCATCTTCCCTTACCACTCAGCGTGTGTCACTCCTAAAGCTGCATGCTGTGTTGAAGAGCACAACTGTCCCCAGTAAAGGAGATTGTTCTTTAGTCAAGGATATATGAGTAGCTTCACTCCCTGGCTAGAACCTCTAAATATGCTCTCAACTAATAAACTGAACATGGTGGGTCTCAACTGCAGTCCTAGCTACTTAGGAAGAGTAGATGGAAAGATCATAGTCCAAGACTTGGCCCCAGCAAAAAGTCCAAGACATTATCTGAAAAATAACTAAAACATGGCTAAGTGGTAGAGTACCTGCCTAGCTACCATAAGACCCTGAGTTCAAACTCCACTACTGCTGTATCTGAATATATATATATATATATATTTACACACACACAATGTATTTCCTCAAATTTTCAGATATACAATATATTTCTTTAAATTTTACTGATAGCAGTGTGAAGTCAATGTTTTGTAGAATATATCCAGCTGACATTGTCATGATATGTCCAGTAGCTGAAATTTGCATTCTTTTTTCTTGCTTTTTCCTGCTCCTAATGTTTGAACTTAGGGACTCTTGCTGGCTCACCTAGCTTGATTGCTTGGCTTACTTTCTTAGCTAGCTCTCTTGCCTGGAGCCATGATTCCAGTATGGAAATTTGCATTTTTAAACATTAGAGAAACACCTTGCATTTCTTTCCATTAAGACCAAAATTGTTCATTGGCTGACACTAGCATTGAAATTTAAAACCATCTATATGAAAATATTTTCATATATTTAATGTCATAAAAACAAAAAGACTGGTGTATCACAGAAAGTGGTTGTAATTTGCACAGTAAATGCTTTGAGTAAATATAAGACATACCGTCTTCTCATATCATACCATAATGTAATTCGTCTGTTTTATGTATTTATTTGACAGTTTAAAAATAATAAAGACTAATACTGATAATACATTTTTATAAGTATTTAAATCCATCAGTGAAAATAAACATTTTGACAGGTTTTTATTCTGTATAAAATTGTTTTGAAATGTGTCTAGAAGTAAAAGTACAATTTTAATTCTTAATATGATTTTTCATGGATATAGATTTGCTTCCCAAACTCTCTTTATTGCCAACAGATTTTTATACAGTTTTAGCAAAAAGATTTGAATCTGAGAAAGTCATCATTATTTTCATGTTGTGAGTCTATAACGTATAGCCATGATAACAGTAGAGAAAGAAACAAAATATATTTGTCAAAAGTAGTGTGTAAGGAAGCCTGATGATTTCACTACCAGCTTCAAACTGCAAGACCTCTTAATTGTGGCTAAGTTGAAAGACATTAATGTTGTCTTTGTTACATAATGATATCTCACATGTTTAAGAAACACCTGCCTATCAGCTACCCAGATGAGATATTGAATAGGCATATCCCACCTTTAAGCCAAATGACCTTAAGGTATTTGCAGATTTGAGTAAAATTATTTGGAAGAATTTATAAACTAAAAATAAATATAATTATGAATTAAAACTTTTTCTGTGCAGGGCACATTAATCTTTTTAAGTCCTTAAAAGTATGTCACAATGGGCTGGGAAGGTGGCTCAGTGGTAGAGCGCTTGCCTTGCATGCCTGAGGCCCTGGGTTTGATTCCTCAGCACCACATAAGCAAAAAGAAAAAAGCCGGAAGTGGTGCTGTGGCTCAAGTGGTAGAGCGCTAGCCTTGAGCTGAGCTGAGGGACAGCACCCAGGCCCAGAGTTCAGGCCCCACAACCAGACCTAAAAAAAAAAAAAAAGTATGTCACAATGAAGAGATACCTAGCCAGACTCATATTTCTTTACTTTTGAATATGTAGCCTCTTCTGAATCTATTTATGTACTACTGCTCATTTGTCCTGTAACTTAGCTAAACTCTGTGTTTAGGTTTGGTTTGTTTTTTTGTCTCCTTAAGGTCATGTGAACAGGATTTGGAGTTAGAAAGCATGAGTTTGTGTTGTGGCACTACTACTGTCAGGACCTTATGAAGGTTTCTTCACTTTAGAGATTCAAATATGGTCATATGTGCAAAAGCACATTGTAAACTATAATATCCCAAATACATTAGTTCCTGCTTTTCACCCAAAAATACCTTATAACTATTTACTAATAAGTAAATGGTTATAATATGTGTTTAATAAAGGAGACCTGTCAAATTGGTTTTGAAAGGCTTTTTTAATTGTAATTTCTCCACCATTCCCAAAGTAGACCATTGAGGTAATAAAATAGAAAATAATGAGAGTGATAGATGAAAGCTGATAAAATCCAACCTTCTCATTTGACCAAAAAGAAAACAAAAGACCTCAAGGAGCATTGGGATTTTTTTTTTTATGAGATAATAGCAAATTGTTCTCCCAGTGGGAATCTTTTGAATTTAGGTCCCCTGAGTTTCAGGCTGTACTATGCTGCTTTTCTAATCATTATTTTTCTGGCTGGAATTTTAATTTCCTGGCCATTACTGTTTATCTTTGAGGATCTGAAGTTACTATGGATTTGTATTATTACCTGGATGTTACTGTCCTCATCCACTGATTGGAAAAGTGAAGGCTCAAGCCCTTGGACAAGTGAAAAATGTCTGTGTGCATAGGCATGTCCTGTATTTCCAATGGATTGTAAATTCTGACTATTGGATTAGTACCTAAATTGAAAAGGCTTCAAAGTTGAACAATAATGAATGCATTTTAGTGGCAGTTTTCTAGTACATTATTTTAGCTTATATATGACCATATAAAAGATGTAGAAAATTTCAATATTTTCATTTAAACTGCATTACAAATCCCACATGTAAATTATATCTAAGTGTGTGGCATAATCAATTTATATGAGTGATGCCTCATTGTGCTAACCTTCAGTGCTTAGGGTAATTATATTAGACCATTAACTAGCCAGAGTGAGCATATGTCCACGATAATGGCTCCAAATTCTAAAGATGTCGAGTGTCTTCTTTAGGAAATCCATTATACTTGTAAACTGAGTTGAAAACCCTTTGAACTTGAAGAAAAGAACTAATTTTTTTTTAATTAAAGGAAATCCAGATAGAACCAAAGTAAAAAGCAGACAGCCAGATAATTCATCTTAAAGTTATTATATCATTTCATAGAATGCAGAAAAGTAATTGTTATTATAAAAATGTATAAAATATTAAAAGTATATAGATGTTTTCTAGAGAAATTCTGCTCTGCTTTTTCTAGTGGAATAGATAGCTGCATTTTTCCTAATGCTAGATGGAAATAGGAAACAGAACAACAATTTAGAAGTTAAAAAGTTTAAAATAATAGGTAAGAGATTGTTGGAGGATTTATACTATTAAAATATATTGTATCTGTGAATGAAGATGGCACAGGAGGAAAAATCTAACAGTAAATATTTTAGTTCATAAAGTTATAAAGTGCCTTTTACTATTATAGAGGACAATATTTTTAAATTATCTTTTTTTAATCAAATCAAGATAGTTTTTTATTAGAACTGGGCATCATTACTAATATAACTGTAACCCCTCTGTACAATATCTTTACAATAAAAAATATTTTTAAAAAATCATTACCATTATACCTTCAGCAAGCATTTGAGTAGCTTTCTTTTTTTTTTTTTTTATTGTGAGAATACCGTACGGAGGAGTTACAATTACATGGGCAAGGATTAGCTTTCTTAATACATTACTTTTTCACATAGTTGAGAATCCTTATTTAGGATTAATTAATAAAGGTAAATTATTTTATCTACATTCTTTTATACATATAGTGTTACCACTTTGATGCTTTTTTCTGAAACTTCCACAAATATTGACCAGAACTTAGAAAAGCAGTTAGACATTGTAAACACATTATCTTAAGTTAGTATGAATTGGGTCTCAAAATGAAGATTTTAAAAATTGTCTTTTACAGAATACCAGGAAAAACCTACATGATAATAGCTTTTCTAACTGTGGGTACTATGGGGTTATCAAACACTTCCTTGGGCTACCTGAATTACCCTACCCAAGTCATCTTCAAGTGCTGCAAATTGATTCCTGTTATGATAGGCGGAGTTTTTATCCAAGGTATAGTAATGATATATTTTCATACTATTTGAAACAAATAGGATACAGTTTGGCATCTGGCATTAGGAAAAATTAAACATCCATTTTTTTAATTTTCATGAGCACTGTACATAATGCAACAATTCTAAGTGCTATCTCACAAAAAATATATTCTAAAAACATTGACATTGCTTTGATGTAAGTATCTGGGACCAATAATTTGGACTTGGGGAAAAGAAAAGATTAACTTTTATTATCTTAACACAGTTCTGGCAGTACTATATTCATATATTGAATATACATTGAAATCTTCAATCAAAAGTACATGGAAAATTCCTTTTTCTCAATACTTTTATTCTTGTAATGTTTCAGAGCATTAGAATATAATCTATCTCCCTTGTAGAGTGGGCAATTCTGGAATTAATAAAGCAGAACTAATTTTTTAAAAATCTGGTCCTAGGGCTTGGATTCAGAGCCTGGTGCTGTCCCTGAGCTTTTTTGCTCAGTGCTAGCTCTCTACCACTTGAGCTATTGCTCATTTACAGCTTTTTGCTGATTAATTAGAGATAAGAGTCTCACAGACACTTTCCTGTACAGGCTAGCTTCAAATGTTGGTTCTCAAATCTTAGCCTCCTGAGTAGTTAGAATTATAGGTGAGTCACTAGAGCCCAGCTAGAACTATTCTTCTGTACTAACCCTCCCCACTTACTGATGTCTTAAAGTTTCAGTTAGCTTATAAGTTTATAGTTTATAAAGTATGAGGGAGGGGAAGCCAATTGTAGCAACAAGCAGCAGAATAAGTAATACATCAAATTAGCTGCTATAAAAACAATTGTGTTTTGATAACCAAGTGTTTTTTGGAGGGACATATCTTTTGCTAGTAATGAATCTCAAGTTCAGGTCCTTGTGTTCTCTCTCAGCTTTTCCATTTATGGCTGGTACTCTACCATTTGAACCTACCTCTGCTTCCAACTTTTTGCTGTTTAAGTAGAGATAAGAGTCTCAGATTTGTCTGTCTGGGCTTGCTCCAAACCGTGATACTCAGCCTCAGGGGTAACTAGGATTATAGTTGTGAGCCACCAGCACCTGGCTATCAATAAGTTTATATACACATAGGTATATAAATACATCTTTAAAAGTGTGTAAATCAACAACTTCAATTATTTTAAAATGGTGGTTCTGTAGGAAGAAAAATTTACCCAAAATTCCTGTTACAAACCACATTTACCAGTTTGACTTGGCACATAAATTTCCTTATAAATCCTAGCAAAGTTACACCACACATCATTTTTAAATGCTAGTGCAGTAAAGTATATAGCCTTTTACTGTACATTAAAGAGATACCACTATAAAAATTTTTTGTGGGAAGTAGCTCTGTGGTTCAAGTGATAGAGCGCTCGCCTTGAGCTGAAGAGCCGAGGGATAGCGCCTAGGCCCAGAGTTCAAGCCCTACGACCAACAAAAAAAAAAGGAAAAAATTTTGTGGATATGTTACACTCATTAGTTTCTGTCCACATACTGTCATGCATAATGGACCACATATACAGAGGAAGTCTTGAAAGAACATTGCCAAGTGACATTACAGCTGTCATTATCTAAGTGTACTTTATGATGCTCTATATAGCAAGGACATTAAAGTGTCCTCACCATTAAACAATGAATGACTGATTCACTCTCATAACAAAAATAAGATCTCCCTTCTAACCTCTAAATGTATATTGGTACTTAATAATTTTCAGAAGCCCTTCTTTGACTGTCTTGTGCCTTGAGCTAAGTGTTTTTCAGTTTATGCTTTAGAAATGAACAATTCCTACTATCCTTGGTTAAGTGCATAGATTTAACACTAGGATGTGCGGTTACTTCTACTGAGGCTGTCTTGCCTGTTTCCTGTAGGGAAGCGATACAATATTGCAGATGTGTCTGCTGCAGTGTGTATGAGCCTTGGCCTGATCTGGTTTACTCTTGCTGACAGCACAATTGCACCAAACTTCAACCTGACAGGTAAGAAATTTATTTATTATATTCTTAGATTTTACAGGCAGTTTTAAAAGTTCAAGGATTTTAACTTACATATGACACTGGTGATTCTCCCATGTAGCATAAGCCTCTCAGACTTTCCATATTAATTGTAGTCAAAAATTCATTCTAAAAATAAAACAATTTTTCTAATTTAAAAAAACTTTAAAACTTGACATTTAATTGTCATTGCTCTAGAGAAAAATGAAAAGTATGTACTTTACTATTAAAATGTAAAATATACAGATATCATCATAGAGCACACAAAATTTCACCGTGTTTTCTCAATCCTACAATAATCTAAATTTTTTAAGATAAATGGAGATTTTTTTTCAAAAGAAAAATAGTATTGCAGTGTTTTCAGAAATCAGAATAAAATGTAAGGATTGAAGTCTTGCTTTTATTTTAATGATCTTTTGGAGAAATTGTTTTGGGGTACTTTTAATGTTTATATTACAATATTTTCCTAAAATTTTGTAAATAATTTTATTAAAACTAGTGACATTTCATCTTCTAACCTGACAAAATAATATTTAAAGTATGTAATTATGTGATAATATTACTTAAGCTATTAAAAATGAATATTAGATGGATAGAATTGATTCTGTGACAGCTAAATTAATTGAAACCACTTGACAAGTCAGTAAAATCACTGAAATTAAATGTGGGCAAAAGCTGAAAATTAAGAGAACTCATAAAAAATAAACTTTTCAAAAACTTAGCAAGCATAGAGAGTATATATTGTGAATATGATTTGCATAAAAGAGAAAATATAGAGTTCTACACAGGAGCCATACTCAGAGAGATGTGTGGCAACTGCCTCTACTGGATTATGTGTTGAAAACTAAACATTTTAGTAATGCAGGCAGGGATATGATTTTTCTCTCCATCTGTTTGGGGTTTTTTTCCTTAATTTAGCCAACTAGCCACTTATCCCAATTGATCTTCAAAGAATGTCTTCTATGCTGGTTTGATATTTCCTTCAACCAGATAATCTAAGGTTAAAGTGGAACTTTATTTAATGTAATAGTGAAGCACAGTAAAGGCAACAATCAACTCAATTTCTTCATGTTATTCTTTTTTGTTTTGATATCATCATCTTTGTGCTTATTACAGCTGTTTTAATATCATCTTTGTGCTAATGTGTAAGCATTATGGAGCAAATGGGTTGAAGATATGCTTTTGTCTTTTAAACTTAGCACATGTGGTAAATAAAGTGGTTGCTTCTTTTCTACCTTGAAGGCGTGATGCTTATTTCCCTGGCACTCTGTGCAGATGCAGTCATTGGAAATGTCCAAGAGAAGGCTATGAAACTCCATAATGCTTCTAATTCTGAAATGGTAAATGATCCAGTGCTCTTTCTTTCCATAGGGCAGACTAAAAAATGATAATTTTTCCTAATTTTATGGAATATAGTACCAAAGGACCTGCATCATAGTTTAAAACTAGTTTATCATTGGTCACATAAAAGTAATGCACTCAGACATTATTTTTAAAACCATTACTATTCTTATTGTGTATGTGATCCATTCTTTTCTTAATTGATTTTTTATAATCTTTTAAAAAGTCTTTTTCTACACTTTTCCCCCTTTTTTTTGTATTTGATTTTATTTTCCATGTGGATGTTTATAATGTGTATTGATCTAATTTATCTTTGCTTTTTTTGTATGATTGAAAGAGTTTCTCACCCCTTAAGATTTTAAGTTTTTGCTTACGTTACTTAGTTGTTTTATGATTTCCTTTTTATTAAATCCTAATCCAGTCTAAACATCTGTTCTTCTATGTGGCTACCCAATTGTCCCAATAACATTACTGAGTAATCTGCTTTACCAGCTTATTTTAAAAGCCTTCTTTATCATATCACATTCTAATGTAGATTTCAGAATTGAATTCTTCAGGATTTATTCTTGTGCCTGTACATACAGCAGCAGCAGCTTTATCCTACATTTAGCATCTGTTAGGACTAGCCACCCATTGTTCCTTTTCTTTTTCAGAATATCACTCCCCGTAGTTATTCTTGGGTGTTCATACCCCCAAATTAACTAGAAATGGCATTGGTATTGTGATGGGTGTGGCACTGAATTATAAATTAATTTAGGGAAAATGGCATCTGTACACTTGATTCTTTCAGTCCAAGACTCAGGTATGACTTTTCTTTTATTCAAGTTTTTTTTTATGTCCATTAGAATTTAAAGTCTTCTTTATATAAATTCAGCATGTTTTTTATTGAGGTTATTTTAGATGCTTCTTCTTTTTGCTGTTATTGTAAATAATCTTTCACTATATCTTCTGAGCTTTTTTCATATGTACAAAGTGTGTTTACATTAATTTTATAACCAACCACTTTGCTAGACAGAACATATTGCATTAAGGCCATATAGAAATATACTTCACTCTCTCTCATATCAAGGTGGGGCACCTAAGTAACATCCTAGAAACATAACAGCTAATCTTGATCAGGAATTTTCTTGGTCATTATCACTACTCTCTTGATAAGGTAAGGATCGCTTCAGAGAGAATTGAGGGAGTACAGATGATTGAAAAGTTAATATACTATAGTGCTTAAAATGATACTCTCAGTTCCTATCCTATCCTAACAGCTCTCATTTAGAGAACTTTTCTTAAAATCTCTTTAAGTTTTAGTTTGTTCATTTGAAAACTGGGTAATTAACACTGCATCACAAGCACCTCTCTTAGAAGTTGGTGGTGAGAAATGAGTGGGGCAATCCACTTAGATTACCAAGAGAACAATACTTGACCCTAGCAGTGCTTACAGTACATGCTCTTATTCCGCTAATACTGTGTATGAAGCCTGTATAAAAGGGAATTTAAAAGTTGGTAGGAAAATAGAGAATTAAAAAGTAAAACAGTAAGTTAGCAGCTGCTTATTTTCATTTTATTTTAATATCTTTTGCAATGTTCAGGGTTGCTTCATCTTTTATAAGTAGCTTTAAAGATTTGTTTGTATAGTTTTACTATGATAACATTGACATCTGCTTGAGTTCAATAATTAAGTCAGGCAAAAGTGAAAAACTATTTCAGCATATCAATTATGTTGGGTTATTTAGTAAGATGTATACTTATGAACTTAAAATCGACCATATAGAAATGATGTTACTTTAAAAATATTTTGTTTAGGGCTGGGAAGTTGGCTCAGTGGTAGAGCACTTGCATTGCATGCCTGAGGCCCTGGGTTTGATTCCTCAGCACCACATAAGAAAAAAGAAAAAAGCCGGAAGTGGTGCTGTGGCTCAAGTGGTAGAGCGCTAGCCTTGAGCTGAAGAGCTGAGGGACAGTGCCCAGGCCCAGAGTTCAGGCCCCACGACCGGACCCAAAAAAGAAAAAAAAAAATGTTTATCCTGGTGTTGGTGGCCCATGCCTGTAATCCTGGCTACTCAAGAGGCTGGGATGCGGAAATCATGGATTACCAGATTCTTACGTTCAATTAACCAATAAAGCCAGAAGTGGAGCTTGGGCTCAAGTGGTAGAGTGCTAGCCTTGAGCAAAAAAAGCTTAGGGACAGCGCCCACAGACCCAGAGAGTTCAATCCCCAGGACTGGCACAAACAAAAAAGTTTTGTTTTACAAAATTAATAAAGTAGATTAATGTAGCTATCTATGTATCCCCTCAATTTTCTGCTACTGACTTGATGGTATTTTCCCTCTTTATTTTTATCTGCTGTAGGTTTTGTATTCATACTCAATTGGTTTTGTGTACATTTTATTGGGACTGACCTGCACTAGTGGATTAGGCCCTGCTGTAGCATTCTGTTCAAAGGTAAACACTCATCATATTTTTTTAGCAATGAACATCTTCCATTATAGAATTTTCTCTAAATATTTCTTATTTCTTTTGCTTCAAAAGAGACTGTTCTTGATATAATTCGATACCTTCTATAATACAGTATTATAGATCAGAAACTTTCTCAGAAATGAAATGATTGGTATTTAAATTGATTTTATACTTGTTATATGCTGTAAGTTAATTTTTAAGCAGTTTGTAATGTAGAAGTTGAGTGTTTTTAATTTTATCATTTTCCCATCAAATCAAAACTAATCCTTGCTTGACTGCACTGTTAAATAGCTTATTACTGCTCAAGAAATTGATTAAAATCTTTGCCTTCTTTTATGTATAATAGCTCAAGGTTTATTTTCTATTTTTCTAATGGGCTGTTTGATTCATTGCAGAATCCAGTCCAGACCTATGGTTACGCTTTCCTCTTTTCCCTTACTGGGTACTTTGGAATCTCCTTTGTACTGGCACTGATTAAAATTTTTGGTGCTCTTCTTGCTGTAACAGGTAAGAATTTAAGCTGCTTAGATGTGAAATAAATACTAACGTTTTTAAAAATAAACATTTTTGAGGTACTCTTTTCCAAAACATAAGAAAAAAACTAAATCTTCATTAAAAACATTGTCATATTTTTCCAGTTTATTCTTTCACCTACTGTTTTAATTCTAAAGAACTGTTTTATATTTTTCTGTCCTGAAGTTTTAAATTTTTTTCAGTGCTGAGAATGGAATCTAGGCAATTGCTCTCCTAGTAAGCTACTTTCTATAGTTTTGGAGGTTTAATTTAAAAGTCAAGTGTATACATTTACCTGAATATAGTAACTTTTCAATATATTAGTAATATCCATTATTGCTATCAAACCATGTTGGGATAAATACCTTCAAAGAAAATGCTACCCTTTATAGACATGAAATTTATTATAAAAAATATGGAAATGTATTTTAAATTATTTGTTTAGGCCATTCACTTGTACCTTTTCTACATCAATAACCAAATAAACTTCTCTCTTGGCTAATGGTAATTCTGCACCTGCTCTTTGCAACAACTTTGCCTGATACTTTATAGGAATGAAAGTTGTATTCGTTCGGCTTTGAGGAGTATGCAGCTGTGGGAAGGGAGCCAGTGACTGAGAGGCAGGCCTCATTCTCTCAGTGTAGTTGGAGTTTGGGGTTTTTTTTCTTCTTTCATATAGAAGAAAGACAGAAGCTATTATTACTAGTAGCTCTGAACAATGCCACTCTGGGTATTTTGTCTATTAGTCATTTTATTCTCATAATAATCCTCAAAAGTGTTAAATAAGACCTATTATGTGACAGACTTCCAAGTGTAATACCTTAGAGTGTAGGAAAAAAACTTGATACAATTGTGTAAACTGGACTGTAACAATTCAGTGCTCTTGGCATAGTGGTGCATACCTGTAATCTGACCACTTGGGAGGCAGGAAGATTTTAGTTCCCTAGTACTGTTGTCTCTTTTTGTGTACTTATTATAGTTATATTTTAAAATTTCACTGTATTATTTAATATCTGTTCCCTAAAAATTATAAACTCCATAAACAGCAGAATCTGTGACTGATTGGTTAGTGGGTGGGTAGGTGAGTGGGTTTTTACTCATACCTGTCACCTCACATAAATTCTGTCATATAATCAGCTGTAAATATCTGTTGAATAAAAAATATCTAAAATATTACCAAAGTAATAAGGCACATTCCAAACCAATTTTTGCCCCTACAGTGACAACTGGAAGAAAAGCAATGACCATAGTACTTTCATTTATATGCTTTGCTAAACCGTTCACATTTCAGTAAGTACTCTTTAATTCTAGTGTCTCCACTTTTACAGTATATTTCACTCTTTTCTTTAAACTTATTTTTTACACTTTTGCAGTAATTTTCCTATGTTATTCTATTAAAAGTCTATAAAAAGTCTATTAAAAGTCTATAAAAAGTCTGTTCATATTTTGACTTCTTGACTATTGATTTATTTTTCAGAAATCTTTTTAATTTGTTATTTTAAACTTACCACTTTTTATATTTAAACTACTTCACCAGAGCCTAATGAAAATGTGAGCCTCTTACCAATATGACTGAATATGAGTGGCATGTATGTTCCAATATAACCGATGTTCCAGTGTGACTGAATGTGAGTGCTGTGTCATGCAATTGTTACTAAATGTGAGAGCTGCATACGTTCAGTTGTGACTAAATGTGAGTGCTGTTACATTTCATTGTGACTGAATTTTAGTGCTGTGTACATCCAGTTGTGAGTGAAAGTAAATGCTGTGTCGTTCGATTGTGACTAAATGTGAGTGCTGTGTACATTTCACTGTGACTAAATATGAATGCTGTATACATACATTCCAGTGTGACTGATACAGTGGTATGTGCATTCTAACTTTACTGGATTAAAGGTATTTCAGTGTAAATGAATAAATTACATGTTTGCAGCCAAAGTTTTGAAAACTGTTTACTTTTTCTTTTCGTAAAGGATTTAAAGTGGAGAAGTTTTCTGTAAGTTGTATCCTAATGAACCATTTAGTTGAGAACAGTGTTTAATTTTGACATCTCAATACTTAATAACATAATTTCAAAGGCTAACATAAAATAAATTTCTGTGAATGTGTCACAGATCATTTTTGTCTATACTTTTTTCCTATATATGCTAGGTATCTTTTATTGTGGTTATGATTATTTCTCTGCTTTTTCAGGACTGTGTCCCATGTCATCCTTTATAATTTAGAACAACTAACCATTCAGACAGCTGATTTAAATTCCTAAAGTAGTCTTTGGTGGAATTCTATATTCAATGTTTTAAATATAGTCTTAAGACAATGAAAAGGCCTGGACTTTGAATATGCTATTATTTTCAATGTCTATATGAACCTCATTTGTATAATTTTTTGTAAAATACCTATTCTTTATTTGCAGCCTATATGTAGAGTGATGTACTCTCAACATAAAGATACTGCATTTTATCTAATCTAAAAATACTATAAATACTATTTTTATTTTAATACTATCAATATCAGCCTAATAGCAAAATTTTATCATTGAAGAATTACTGTGGACCACTGAGCAAACTATTGTTAATGCTAAATTGTTAACTTGTTAAACTGTTCTTCTCTATTTTTCTTTCTCTTAGGTATGTATGGTCTGGTCTATTAGTTGTCCTTGGTATTTTTCTTAATGTTTACAGTAAAAATATGGATAAAATACGACTGCCCTCACCATATGATCTGGTAAGCAGAGCAGGGGAAGTAAGGAAGTCAAGGACACTGGCACAAACTGTATAGGCATGGATTCATCCTGTTTAAAATAAAATTTTATAGGAACAATCCTTAATTAACTTCCCAAAAGGATTGCTATGAAAACCAAAGGATCTGAAGGCATACTGTCCACTTAGCTGGATTACATATGAAGTGGTTTCCTGGCCTCCTCAGAACATTTCTTGGACTGACTTCTGAAGCACTCAAGAGCCGCACCTAGCACGCCCTACAAGAAAATGTCAGTATGAAGGACTATACTTTTCTTGAAAATTCCACTGGGCATGGACCATGCTACCAGACTGATTGAATATCATTATGACATATCAGTTGATATGTAATGCACACTGTTTTACCTTTCTTCCATTTTGTTTTGTTATTTAAATCAATTCTCTGTTCTAAGAGTAAACTGATTATTTAAAGCCTGGGAGAATAGCATCCATTATAAATAAAATTATTCTGTGATTTTTTTAAGTGTGTCAATAGAATTTTGTTATAAAGAGGAAGTTGGAGGTTAGAGTAAGACTTAACGTAAGCTTTAAAACTTAGATTTTAGCCAAGCACCAGTGGCTCAAGACTGTAATCCTAGGTATTCAGGAGAATGGAAGTTCAAACACAACCCGGCAGACAAATCTGAGAGACTCTTATCTCCATTTAAACAGCAAAAAGCCAGAAGTGGATATATGTCTCAAGCAGAAGAACAGCAGCAGCCTTAAGTACAAAAACCAAGCAAGAGCATGAGCTCAAGCCCCAGAACTGGCATGAAATAAAATATAATAATTATAATAACAATAGATAATTTATAAAAATCAAAACTTCCAAAATGAAAATTTTACATTTGCATGTATGCAGTTCGGCTGATGCAGAAAGCTGACAGTGCCATGTATGGTCAGTGATCTGTTGAGCATTTTCCTACCCCTAATTTCATGAAAATATGACTTCCCAAAAAGAAATATACCCAAAGCCAATTGAAGTGATAAAGTAAAAACTTCAGATTTATTGAAAGGTGAATGTCGTTTGGAGAAATTGAGTGGTTTTGTGTGAAAATATATCAGGCACCCACAATACAGTATATTGAACTCTGCTTCCTGAGCATGTGCAGTTTCTGCTCTTAGGTGGTCTCTGATTCCCATGATACTGAGGATCTACTGTACTTAAAATTTGGAATGTAAGAGTCAAATCAGACGTTTTACTTAATGATTTTGTGTATAACACCCCTTTTAGCTGGAATCTAGAATTGTCAGTAATGTGATACAGTTAGCAAAAATCACTTGATTCATCACAGTCTTCACTCACCACACTGAAAAAGGGTTATTAAAAATACAATTGATTCTCTTCTTATGATAATTGTGTGAATAGGTGGCATAAAGTTTGAATTATACAATATCCACTAATATAATTGAATAATACAATGCAGTTGTACAATTGAAATAGCCAATATTATATAATATATTAAATACTAAAAGTTTATGATTCTAAGTGTCTCTAAGTGTACAGTTTCAATAGTATTATGACTTTAATATCTCCCAAATTGGTATGACTGTTCAAATGAAGTGGCCACAGTTTCAGAAGGCTTCATTTCAGCCACATGAACACAGACTTCTGGGCATCATCTGATGAATGGTTTAGCTCCACTTCTGCCTTCACTAAGTGGAATTGACACAAATGCACTGGAATTAATAGTCCCCTCTGACCTATATGCTTTTCAGAAAAACTCACATGAAAATGTGTTTTCCACCGAAAACGAATTATCACTAACAAAATACTCAGCTTCTTCATCTTTTAAAAAGTATCTTACCGTCTTTAAATCATTGTACGAAGAGATTGCCATTCAGCAAAACAGTTTGTGAATACAATGCCACAATCTCTCACCTCTTTCATCCTCACCCTCCTAATCCAATGAATTCATTACTGCATTCTTCCTCCCCCTTTTTCCCCTTCATTCATCTTTCCCTCCTCCCCAGCTTCATCTTTATACTAGTGATAGTCACTGACCAAATAAACTAGGCAATTTACACAGCTCCTGGGAAATTATATACATATGTACTAAAATATACAAGCACACACACAAAAGCAGTAGCTTTGGACATGATTATATGTAAAGCTCTGGGAAGCTGTTGGCTAACAATTCCAGAAGACATTGAGATTATTGAAGTTGAGTAGTCATGTATTTGAGAGCCAGCTGGATGGTGGCAGTTTAAAAAAAAAGGCTTTTTATAATATAAAAGAATGTTTGCAAGGACCTAGCAAACCCAGATACTTAAGGTAGGCAAAGCACAAGAAACCCAAAGAAATGTACAGTAAGCAGCCAGAGGAGGAAAGTACGAGCTCCAAGAAGCTAAAAGGAGAGGCAGAGACAAATGGACAAATGTCAAACTATTGTAGACAACTGTAAAACTTGTTAAGTATCTTCAATGGATTCTAAAAATTAAATTTTTATTGAGCCCAGGCTATTTCTATTGAAGTTCTCTATATTCTAAATGTTTCTTCTATTATAAAATGCCATTTGTGAAGAAACTAAAAATGTATATTAGTCATATTTAAAATCAAAATGTTTAAAGCATATAGACTTCACATATAAAAATAGAGCTAATTTGAATTCCAGCTTCATGGTTGCCTTCCGTTTAATCAAGAAAAACAATGGAATTAACATACCTTTGCAAAGTGATGTTGAAAAATCAAACACAATGATGTACATAAAAAATAGCCCATTTGTATTAATGATTATTGTACTACAGGTATTTTAAATTAATAATTCAGTGAAGAACAGAACCATATAAGAATAGAATTTAAATTATAAATGATATAAGAGAAGTAAGAGAAAGCTTGCTTCTATCTAAAAACTTTATTGAAATAAACCTGGATGTCTGATAAATTGAAAAGAAAAAAATAAGAAATAGAGTAAATGAGAAGAGGGATATTGTTGCATATCTTATGGATATTTTCTTTTTTGTTTCAAGAAGTTTTATACAAAATGGTCTCAATAACAAATACAGTGCGCTTTGATCAGTGTCATTCCAATGAATATTTTTTAAAAAGATTATTTTGAGATACTATAATCCAACAAATTTGAACATTTAAGTAACAAATTTCAACAGAAATTGTATACCAAAACTGAAACCAGGAAGCCTGATTATCTCCACATGTGTTTTTTTTATTAAAGTAGGTCAAATGTGTGTGTGTGTGTGTGTGTGTGTGTGTGTGTGTGTGTGTGTGTAGTGTAATTAGAAAGTCTCCTACAAGGAAAAGCTATAAGATATTTAAGAAAAGAAATACTGCCAATCCCTCAGCTTATCTGAAAAATCAAAAAAAATCCTTATGAATTCTTAGATGAAACTAGCAGAATCTTGAAAACAACCAAATGAGGACATCACGAGAAAGGAAAATTCCTGGTCCGTGCCCTCACAAACATAAACAGGAATATATGATACAATATTAAACACGTCCAGGGTTAGATTGAAACGATAATATTTCATCATCAAGTTGAGATCCTCTCAAAACTTTGTGAAACTGAACTCCAGGCTGCTGAACTGGATTTCATCTGACAAGAAATTCCTCGGCAGCTTCATAGAGGTTTCTGTCTACTTTTTTCAAATAGACTCTGAGGAACTGAGGAACAATGAGGAACTGAGTGGACAAAATGTGAAAAACAATTGCAGTTTGGTTAGGAAAGGAGTGCACTTAAAGGTGCTGTCACGCAAGCCTCAAGTGGTCAGGGAGATGAATACCAGGAAGAAGCCAAGTACCTTACCTGCGAAAGTTGAGGGCATCTGAGTCATCAGCAAAATCACACCCATTATAAACTAAAGGTGTGACAAGTAAACTTTCAAAAAACTTTTCCTTTGAGTAGAGAGTCTCAGGATAAGAAAACATTCCACTTAGGGAAACTCTATTCCCAGGGTTTCTTTCCCCATTTCAGCCTCCAATACATTCAAAGACTTGTAGCAGATAGGCATGCGATAGATAGATAGATAGATAGATAGATAGATAGATAGATAGATAGATAGATAGATAGATAGATAGATAGATAGATAGATAGATGGTTTTATGCAGATGCATAATATGCAAAAGTTAAAGAGCTGGAAGTTTCTGACAAGATGTCAGAAAAAAAGCCTGGGACAGTGGGTAGTATGTATGGCAGGGTTATGTCACACAAACAGCACCCAACAGAGCAATGAGTGATGCGGAGATAGTGAGGCCAAGCTGCAAGAGACCTAGCTGAGGGGCCTGGAATACAGAACACTTGCTGCGAAAAGCTGCAGGCCACAGGCAGAGCCAGAGGAAGAGAGGGGCAGCCACCACTGAGGCACAGTTGGTGGTATTACAAAAGCCCTCCAGAGCACACTTTGTGCTACCATATGCCCCAATGCTGCTCATGAACTATATCATTTAATATTTACTCTGCTTTGCGTTGGTCTATTACCCCTTTATCACTTTCTTCATTCCTTGAAATGGGGATGCTTGCCCTCCATCGTGAAAGTATGTCACTTGCTTCTGATTTTTCTAAGGTTTCACAGTTGAGTTATCTTTGAGATTCAGAGGACACTTTGCAACAGTAACAGAAAAGTTAAGCCTTCGAGGATTCTCAAAGTCAGACAGACTGATTGCATTTACAACGGAAGACTGACATGATCTCAAGTGTTTCCCCAAAGGCCCATGAGCTATATAAAGGCTTAGTTGCTAGCTCATGACACTATTGATGGAGCTGGTAGGAAGTGGAGCATAGAAGGAAGAAGTTAGGTGAGTAGAGATGAGCCCTTGAAGAGAATCTGAGGAGGGGCTCTTCTTTCTTCCAGTTCCCCTCTTTCACCCTCTTGTCTTTCCAGCCACCATGTGGGAACCAAACTTCCTTCACCACAGGGCTCCTCTGCGCTGGGCACTGCCGGCGCCCAGTGCACACACTGCACTGCCACAGGCCTGAAGCAACAGTAAAGATACTGGATAGAGTATTTCCCGAACCCTCTGAAACCA